TTAGCACAAAACAATTGCTGATAGCTATTTTGCTAAAAAATAGCACTATTTTAGATGCTACAAAAAAACATCAGAGGGCTCTAAAATGAAATAATGATAATGTATAAAACCTGTTTAATGAACAAAGTCGAATGAGCTGATAATGCATAAACTTGATTAATGAATAGAGTCGATAATGCATAAAACCTGATTAATAAATAGAGTCAAATAAGCTGATAATGCATGTAGCATATAATGCAAAGCTGAAGTCCTTGCCTGTTTTTCATAAAGTTTGCCTTTCTCTTACAAAGTTTGAAATTTTTTTAATAAATAACCCAAAATCTATTTTACATTTTTTTTTATTAAATACGATGCCAAATATTTATTAATAACGAAACTAATCTTATAAATATACCAAAGTCTATTATACTCTGCTGAACCTGTATCTGGTGCTAAAAGAATTTTTTTTAAAAAAAAAAACAAAAAACAGTTGCTAGCTAAAAAAAAACAGTTAAATAGTAATGTCACCAATACCTGATATGTTAGAATGATATATAATTAAAACCAAAGAAAAGATTAATAAAAGTAACCATAAAGTTTACTGTAAGGTGTGTATTGATGTATTGGATGATGATGGAATAGAAGTTTTTGTTCCAAATAAAATGGATAGGATAATTGCACACCTCAAAAAATGTACACATTTTACAGGACAAACAACACCTGAGAAGAGAGAAAAAGTCTTTAACTTATCCAATAATGAACAATCAAGTATGAATAGAAAAAAAGTCTATTTTAAGCAGTATGAAATATATATTAATATGCTCAATTTCTCCAGGTTCATATGATACCATGTCTACCTCATCACAATCATCCACCCAAAAGGGCATTGTACGATCTACTTCTTTTAGCCCACTTGACAACTATTCTGTTCATCCATTGTCGTAATAAAACTATGAAAAATTTAAGGTTCTTTTGCTAAGACTAATGGTATTTTATGGTTGGGCTTTTAATTGGATAAACAAGCCTGAAGCAAGTGAGTTGTTTGATTTTTTGAACCCTCTTATAAAGCTTTCAGATCATCAGACTCTTAGTGGACCAACTTTAGAGGTGGCAGTTTCTGAATATAATAGGGGAATGCTTAAAGCTCTTCAAAAGGATTCAATTGGTGTTACTTTAATGTTTGATGGGTGGACGAATATCAATAATAAACAATTAATAGGTACAATGTTAGTAACTTCAGTAAGGAAACCTTATATTTGGAAGGCAACAGATATTAGCATAGAAAGAGAAAGTTACACTAAAGTAATAGAAAAAACAGAAGAAATGATTGATGAGTTAAAAAAATAAATGTAAAGATCATTGCAATTGTAACAGATAGTGTAGAGCTGTATGCTGTGGCTAGGTATTTTCATTTTTCTTCTGATTTATATTAGCCTATAATTTAATTATATATATTATATTATTATTATTAGATGAAAATTAAGGGCTATTCATTGAAATATTGTATTCTTGTCCTGTTATGCCCACCAATTAAACCTATGCATAGATGAAGTTTTTAAGAAATCAACCAATTTAAAAAGCACAATAGATAAAGTGATTCTTTTTTTTTTTTTTTTTTTTAACCTTAAGCAGTTACGCTAGTACTTTATTAAGATTCTTGAAACTATTTACAATTAT